TTAAACCCCCCCCCTCCCCTCCTGGAGTCAGGCCACATCTGTATGATGAAACTCTGCAAGAGAAGGAAAGGGGTTTAAAGTTTAAATGCCTCCCCTTTAGGACGGATAAGAGGAAGTACTTCTTCACCCAAAGAGTGATTAACACTTGGAATTCACTGCCACAGGAAGTGGTGGTGGCTACAAGCATGGACGGCTTCAAAAGGGAATTAGATAAGCATATGGAGCAGAGGTCCATCAGTGGCTATTAGCCACAAGGTATAGATAGGGACTCTGGGGCAAGTGATGCTCTGTCATCTTGGTGCTTGGGGGGGGTCAACAGTGGGAGGGCTTCTAATGTCCTGGCCCCACTGGTGGACCTCCTGATGGCACTGGTATTTCTGGCCACTGTGGGATACAGAGTGTTGGACTGGATGGGCCTTTGGCCTGATCCAACATTGGCATCTCTTATGTTCTTATGTTCTTATGACATCGCCTACCACTTGCTTCTTTTAACTGGAGATGCCGGGGATTGAACCTGGGACCTTCTGCATACCAAGCAGATGCTCTGCCACTGAGCCACAGCCCCTCCCTTAGCATAACTCTGGCAGTTACTGTAGCAACTCAACAGGTAAGGATACTTCCTAATACTGAAATCCAACGTGTGCATGAAGCGCCACGAAGTCACTTCCGACTTATGGCGACCCTATGAATTAATGTCCCCCAGTGCAACAGTGCTGCAAAAAAAAAAAAAAGACTTGCAAGTTAAATCTTGATTTGTTCTGCAGCTGTCAAGCGCAAAGGAGTCCAGGCACGTACAAACTAGCAACCAAAGACCGCAGACCACCTGTCCCTCCGTGAGCCTGTCCACGCTTTTAAAATAATCACACTTTCAGATGGGGGGCTGCTAAGGATGGGGTGATCTTGGCTTGCTCCTGATAGCTGTAGCGGTACCTGGAGAAGAGACACTTCATTGACTTTCCAGCATGTGTTTAATTCTGTATTGATTCGAGCTTTTTGTAGCTTGGTTCCCTGCCATTTATGGATATCGATCAGTAATATCTGGGTTGGCGGACTGAACTACTGCTTCTTTTTTTAGCTAATTTTGCTATGGGTTTGTTCAGCTACATTTGTAGGGGAAGCTCAAGTTTAAAACTGCCTTTAGAGGAAAGGGTTTTCCAGACAAGATGGAAGCGGAGAGGAAGATATGTAACTTGGGAAACAGACGCTATGAGAAGCGAGTTGGTAACATTTTGATGCAATTCTCTTTCCAATGCAGAGTGTGGTTACCTGGGACGGTGACAAGCTTGTTTGTGTCCAGACGGGAGAGAAGAAAAACAGAGGCTGGAGTCACTGGATTGAAGGAGATGAACTCTATTTGGTGTGTAATATTGCAACTAAGGCAGACTTTTGAGTAATTCTTAAATACTGGGTTCAAGATGCATTGCAGTGAAACAAACATACCCTACTCCCAAGGATAGGCTACATTACCTCCTCATTGGTCACCTCTAGTGTAAAGTACTGGGTTCGACGCATGGAGAACTCGGACCACGACATGCATTCAGACGCATTTATTGTACTTCACAACAAGACATACAAAACAGCCCTGCGTGGTCAACTATATACACTCAATCCGGCACACCTCTGTCCCCATTGGAGGGTTTGAATCTCCCGCCAAAGGGGCTATTGGTGAACTCTCGGTGGACTAGGATCCTGGGTCCCCTTTGTGTTTGAGGACCAAGCTCCTGCTTTAGCTGCAGACCCCTGGTGGCGCTCCACATACATAACACCCCTCCCCCCCTTAGTCCCGATCCAACCTATGTTACATAGTCCTTAAGATAGGCGGGGGAGGGTCTGCGCTCTCGGAGGGAACGCCGGGGTGCTGGCACGGCTGACTGTTTCAGGTTGCGGCGAGGGCGGTGGCGGCTCCTTGGGTTCTGGCGGTGTGGCCGGGGACTTGACTGGTGGGGGCTCACCTGTGTGGGGGGAGTTCGGGTCGAGTGCTGGTCAGTGGTGCATAGTGTCCTGGGCCCCCTGTGTGGGGGAGTTCGGGTCGAGTGCTGGTCAGCGGTGCATAGTGTCCTGGGCCCTCGAGCTGGGGTTGCTCTTCAGCCAAAGTTGGTCAATGTGTTTTTTTAGGAGTTGGCTGTCCTCTGTAGAGACCTCATAAGAAACTGGGCCAGTGACTCAGACTACCCGGCCTGCAATCCAGGAGGGCTTTCTCCCAAAGTTCCGGATGAACACAGGGTCACCCGGGAAGAACCCCCAGGGAGTGTCCCTTTGCTCCATCAGATGCCTTGAGTCCGGTGCTCAGTCTGAATGTAGGCGGTCCAACAGGATCGGGGGACGCCTGCCCATCAACAGTTTGGCTGGGCAGCGGCCGGTGACAGGCTTGGGTGTCGTCCGCTGAGTCAGTAGGAAATGGGCAAGCCCGAACTCCCAGTCTCCCTCCGTGATCCGGCTGAGGGCCTCTTTTGCTGTGCGAACCATCCTCTCTGCTTGATGGTTGGTCGCGGGGTGGAATGGCGCTGATCTTACGTGCTGGATCAGGTTCCGCTGTAGGAAGTCCTGGAACTCCACTGACATGAAGGCAGTCCCGTTGTTGGATACAATCATGTCCGGCAGCCCATGGGTTGCGAAGATCCGGCGGATGACAGGAAGGGACTCATCGAAGTGCGCCAACACCTCATTGGAGATGAGTAGTGCCTTGACCCCTTTGAATGCCGCCACCTCCCTCAGGCCCCACGACCAGGGCGTGACTTATCCAGGAGGTGGTGAAGAGGCTCTGCAACTGCTGCCTTGTGTGGCAGAAAGGCGTGATAAAAGTTCAGAAGTCCCCAAAACGCCTGAAGTTTCACCTTGCATGTGGGATTGGGGGCCTCCAGTCCACCTCCGGACCCCCAAGCAGGCACTTCTCCCGTTTGACCTTGAGGTCCGCTGAGTCGAAACGGCGTAGGACGGTGCAGAGACGGCGGCGAAGTCATCTGGGGTGGCCACGGCGATAACGGTTTCATCAAAAATGGCATCGCCCCAGGAATTCCTTTCAACAAAGAGTCCATTAGTTGCTGAAATATCCCCGGGGCCACACTTACGTCAAACTGTAACCTCTTAACCTTAAAAGCTCCCCGGTGTGTTACAATAGTCTGGGCCGTCGCTGTTGCCTCATCTATGGGCAGTTGTTGGTATGCCTGTGCGAGATCCAACTTTCCAAATATCTTAGCTCAAGCTAAGGAAGCCAACACATGACTCACGACCGGGACGGGGTAGGCATGGTCGGGAAGGGCCTTGTTCAAAGTGCATTTGTAGTCCGCACAGATGTGGACGTCACTTTTAGGCTTTATGGAGGTTACAATGGGGTCTCCCACAACGCATGGGAGACCAGTTCTAGGACCCCTTGCACCACCAAACGGTCTAGCTCCGCATCAATCTTAGGCTGCAAAGCAAGCAGGGTGGAAACACATGCAGATGGGGGCAATTTGAAGTTGCAAAGAAACAAGGGGTCCCTTGTAACAACCCAGAGCCCCATCAAATACCGTGGGGAACTCCTCGCAAACCTCAGCAAAATCCCACGGCACACATTTATTAACCCCCCCCCGACTGTGATGCCCAACAGTGCAAACCACGCACGCCCCAATGGACTAACCAAATTTCCCTCCACTACTATCAAGTTCGGAAAACCCTGAAAACCCTGGAACTTCACCTGGAATTGGGTTCCTCTGGAAGTCCACTAGGCTCAAGGGCGAAGGTCGCAGTTGGGGCCCGCCGTTGGGACAAAGTCTGTTCAGCGTTCCCACAGAAATGATGGAAGCCGCTGACCCTGAGTCTACTTCCATTTGGCAGGGGGAGCCCTCGATCGAGACCTGGATCTTCAGGGCTGCGGGCAAGTTGGGGAGGCGGCGTAGTACCTGTAGTGAGGGCTGGCTGGTCAGGAGGTAGAGACTGTCTGTGCCCTCGGTGGTCTCGTAGTGTGCGGAGGCCTGGCGGCGTGGCTGTGGCGGATGGTTCAGGTTGCCCTTGGATCTGCAGACGTGGGTGAGGTGTCCCTGTTTCCCACATGTGTGGCAGTTGGCGTCCCGGAACCTGCATGACTTGCGCTTGTGCGCCTCTTCACAGCTGGTACACGGGAAACATCCAGTTGGCTTACCGGGGTGTCCGGAGCTTCTCGTGGATCCCGTTGGCTTCCGGCAGTGGGGTGTGCAGGACCAGACAGACATCGTCCTTGTCTGAGGTTTCGGGCACTGATTCGGGGAGCACTACATGGGACACTGCCGGTGGTCGGTCATGGTGGTAGGCCTTGTGTGTGATGGCAAGCTGGAGGGCCTCATTAAGTTTGATGTTAGATGTGCTGATCATCTTTCTGCGAAGCTTCACGTCACTGAATCCACAGGCAAACTGGGTCAATAGGTTCTCCTCTACCTTGGAGAAGTTGCACTCCATGGCGTGCTGGCGCAGCACGGCCATGAACGCGGCGACCATCTCGCCGGGGTTCTGGATATGCCCCTGGAATTCCATCTGTTTGGCCAGTGTCATCGGCTTTGGCGTGAGGTACATGGTCAGGGCGTCTAAGATCTCCTCATATGTGCACTTGAGGATCGCCTTCGGGGCCAGGAGACTCTTTGCGAGCCGGATGGTGTGCACGCCACAAGAGCTAAGGAGGAGAGCCCTTCTCTTGCCTGCATCGGTGATCTCATGGAAGGCGAGATGGCAGGTTAGCTGGTCCGTCCACAAATCCCAGAGCTCAGGATGAGTGGGGTCAAAAACCTCTAGGTGTCCCTGAGCGGAGGCTATGGCTCTAGTGCGGAGCGGGGGAGCGGTGTTCAGCAGTGCCTGGCATGGTGTGGTGCTGCTCGGGAGCGGTGTGGTGCTTCTGGAACAATGCTTGGTGCTGTGCTAGAAGGTGAGCCTGGCCTGCTCATCGGGATCCCATCCTCGTCGCCACTGTAAAGTACTGGGTTCGACGCATGGAGAACTCAGACCATGACATGCGTTGAGACGCATTCATTGTACTTCACAACAAGACACACTTCACAACAAGACCCCTGGTGGCAGTCCGCGTACATAACATTTAGATTCCTGGTGGGCTATTGTTCTGGATCTCCAAGCTCAGACAGTTTTTGGCAGACAGTCCTGGAATGTTCCAGCCCTAATACATAACAGTAATGAAGCCACTGAATGTCCAGAAGTAACATCCTGCACCATGGGCTTCGTATCTGGGTGCCAGATTTGTTTCTGATACCAAATAACCTCTGTATTTATACCTTGACCACTTTCTATGAGTCGCATGTCCTTTGCTGTACTGGACAAGAGACTTTACCGGAGTTCAGGCTACATCAAGGGCCTGTGTCTTGGTTGCCATAACCAGGGGGAAATAATACAGATTAGATAATCCTCTATTAAGACGACAGTTGCTTCTCACGTTTTAAAAATTCATCTTCACTTGAGATTTCCTTTGAACGGCAGCTGTGTTAGAATGTTTTCATGATATCCAAATCTTCAAGTCACTCTGTGTATGGGGGAGGGGGGGTAACTTCAGTTCTGTCTCTAGATCTAGCCCACCTAGAAAATCCACTAAGAATAAGAAGATCCCTGCTGGATCAGGCCAGTGGTCCATCCAGCATCCTGCCTCACACAGTGGCCAACCGGTTCCTCTGGAGGGCCAACAACAGGTCATAGAGGCTGGGGCCTTCCCCTGATGTTGCTTCCTGGCACTGGGATTCAGAGGCTGAACGTGGAGGTTCCCTTTAGTCATCATGGCTAGGAGCCACTGATAGACTTTTTCCTCCATGGATCTTCTAATCCTTTTTAAAAATTGTCTATGCCTGTAGCTATCACTACATCCTCTGGCAGCAAATTCCACATTTTAATCACTTGTTGTGTAAAGAAGTATTTCCTTTTTTCCGTCCTGAATCTACTGCTCATCAGCTTCATTGGATGCCCTCAAGTTATAGTATTTTAGGAGGGGGGGGGGAAGCTCTCTTTGTCAGCTCTCTCCACCCCATGCATAACTTTATAAACCTCTATCCGGTCTTCTCCCCCACCCCGCTGTCATGTGAATATATATATATATAGCTGACCATTGGTAGTTCTTTTTGACTTTTGCCTGGCAGCAGTTTTACTATGATGTCATCTTGGCAAACAGCTACTGCCAGAGGTCCTTTAGCTGGAGACTGAATCTGCAGCCTTCTGCATGCAAAATGGGAGCTCTGTCTCTAAGTCACAATACCTCCCCCGAGAATAGTGTGATGTTAATTACCTAATCCAAGTGGCATGCAATGCAACAGTTATGTGTCTTCCTTTATAGGAACTCCGGTGTGAAGACCAAGTAAGCCAGCAGGTTTTCAAGAGAGCATGAAGCAAACCCCAGAGGCCACCACATGGCAGGCAACTATACAACTCTGTGGAAGAGTTAATGCGTAGGCTTCGAATTCAGAAGCATTGATCAAGATGGCAGCTTTACAAGTCAAATGTTTTGTCGGTTGTATTTTCCTGAGGATCTTCAGATCAAACACTGTAACTGTTACCAGCATACATTAAAGATAACTTCTAGCAATGCAACTTGCAAGTGTAGATCCCTTTTTAGGCTTTGAACGCTGTTGCTCACATTATCAAAGGAGTAAAAGTAGAGCTGAAGTGCTGATTTTGGTTTAACTGCATCAATCCTTGGAGTTATTAGTAGCTTTGGGACCCTCAGTGTTCTCCCTGCGGCGACCACGTCCACATACTATTAAGGATATAAGAAGAACCCTGTTGAATCAGATGAGTGGTCCATCTAGCCCAGCATCTTATCTCACACTGGCTTAACCATTTACTACCAAGGGCTAGCAAGAAGGCACAGTGGCCGTGGTTGCCTCCTAGCACTGGGATTCAGAGGTTTTCTGCCTCTGAACACGAGGTTCCCTTTAGTCACTATGGCTAGTAGCCATTGTCGAATCCTCTTTTTAGGTGCTGTGGTGGCTCAAGTGGTTAAGACGCTGAGCTGCAGACCGGAAGGTCAGTAGTTCAGCAGTCCAAGACCCGAGTGCTGCATGACGGAGTGAGCTCCCGTCTCTGGCCCCAGCTCCTGCCAACCTAGCAGTTCAAAAGAAATTGCAAGTAGATAAATAGGTACCGCTTTGGTGGGAAGGGAACAGCGTTCCGTGTGCCTCGGCATCTAGTCATGCCGGCCACATGACCACGGAAACATCTTTGGACAGAGCTGGCTCTTTGGCTTCGAAACGGAGATGCGTACCACATTCCTAGAGTCGGATTCGACTGGCTTTCGGGCACGGGAAACCTTTACCTTTTACTAATCCTCTTTTTAAAGTGGTCTCCAGGGGAACTGGACGTAGTCTTGAGTTGTGGAAGTGGAAGACCTTCAGGCCGCACCTAGAAGTTGGCAAGCCAATTTAGGATAGGGTTGCCCAATGTAGGTTGGGAAATTCCTGGAGATTTGGAGGGTGGGGGTTGGAAAGGTAAAGGACCACATATGCTCTGGAGATCAGGTGTAATCCTGGGAGATATCCAGGCCCCACCTGGAGTTTGGCAGCCTTAGGAGTAGAGAACTCCAGATGAAATTTCCTTGCTCCAAGAGGCTTCGAATCAACAAAACTTCTGCTGCAACACATTCCTTGGCATCTTATAGCACCCTACCATCTATGTTGGTTGCAGCATGCTAACAGGGCTGGAAACTCACAATGCGGTCTAAGGACCAACCTACCTCAGAGGCCTGTTCGTTCGCACTGGGGAGAAGAAAATTCGTGCTATCTTGTGGTCTTCGGAGAAAGGTTAAAATAATTCCTTCACGGAAATAAGATTATAGCTGCTATACCGTGCCATCCACTAGGTGGCACCTCGGTTACACAAAAAAGGTTTTTGGTTTATAGCTCTCTGTGTGGAAGTTCTATCAGTATTGGCAGACTAATTTCTCTAATAAAATTGATAATGCAGCAGTCTAATTTGCCAACAGATGAGCGGCTTCAGGTTTCCGTTGCTTCAGTGTGTTGGGAGAAGCAATAGCATTCTCTGTATTTAGAACTAAATAGGACCAATAGGAAAGGGGACTCTCTTTCAAAAGGCTAATACCGCATTTCTCTATGGGATTTTCTGTGAGGTCAACAAGACAGCTCTATACATCAGTTCTAATTTGTGGGGCAGGGCCCAGTGATGAGGCCTGAGAAAGGTGGTGCCATGTAATAATGAGCTAAATAACTGAGGCTACCAGAAGAACAGAATATGCTGTATCTCCACATGATTTATTGTTCTGGCTGTTCTAAGCTGCACACCTATAATTCTGGGTTGTTGTTTTTGTGGGTGTGTGTGGGTCCTGATGCAAACATACAGGAGAGTTTACCTGGTATCCCTGTTGGATTACTGCAGAAGTCAATGTTCTGGGCGTTGTTGTTCAGTCGCACAGTCGAGTCCGACTCTGTGTGACCCCACAGACCGCAGCACGCCAGGCCCTCCTGTCTAAATCAGGAGGAATGCCCAGAACAAAAACTCATGCCACATTGGGGGAGGGCTCCTGTGAAGGCTGATAACTTTTTTAAAAAACATACAAACAGTAAAGTAGCTTAGTGGATGCAAATGTGAAGCATATTTCCAATTTTAATTCAAAGGGAAGGGATGTCTGCCCTATTTGATTATGGTAACAATCAATTTAAAAAAGAAACAACCAGCGTAAGTCACTGGATCGGTATAAGTTGCCCAACAAAAACAGTGAGCGAACAGTGTTTATTTTTCCTGCCATTCTTTGAAAAAACACACAAAAGTATCTGATTCCAGTGACTTGTGTATGACAATTTATTAATTGTACTGGATCAATCTGGTAAAGAACCACTAGATTATGTCTTTGGGAAAACATCATTTCTGCGCCAAAAGAAGAGAGGATAAAATATGCTTTTGAGATACCGTCTTGATGACAATGGATACTCCTAAATTAGATAATTAGGCAACATTTACTTGATCAGCCTTTTTGGTTGCCTAAAAATGTATCCTAATAGATTAGACAGGAGCGTTTTAAGAGCTGTCAGTTATTAACTGGAAATACTTATAAGAACAGCAAGTGGTAGATGTCGTATGAGAAGAGGCATTTCCCCCTTCTTTCACATAGACACAGGAGTGGGGAGGCCTCTTCTAAGATGGTGCCTGCTATGAAGTATGGAGCTGCGGTGGCTCAAGTGGTTAAGACGCTGAACTGCAGGCTGTGGAAGGTCAGTAGTTCAGCAGTTCGAGACCCGAGTGTGCTGCATGATGGAGTGAGCTCCCATCTCTAGTTCCAGCTCCTGCCAATCTAGCAGTTCGAAAACAAGAAATTGCAAGTAGATAAATAGGTACCGCTTCGGTGGGAAGGGAACAGCGTTCTGTGCGCCTTGGTGTTTAGTCATGCCGGCCACATGACCACGGAAACGTCTTCGGACAGCGCTGGCTCTTCGGCGTGGAAACGGAGATGAGCACCGCAACCCTAGAGTCTGACTCGACTGGCTTTCGAGCAAGGGAACCTTTACCTTACCTAGAAGCCATTCCTACTCATGTCTGATGAAGGGAGCTTTGAGTCTTGAAAGCTTACACCTTGAAAATCTTGTTGCTCTCTAAGGTGCTACTGGCCTCAAGTCTAAACATTTTAAACTTAGATCAAGATGGGTGGCCGTGTTAGTCTGTCTGTGGCAGTAGAAAAGAGTCCAGTAGTACCTTAAAGACTAACAAAATTTGTGGCAGGGTAGGAGTTGCTCCTCCTGCCAACCTAGCAGTTCGAAAGCAAGAAATTGCAAGTAGATAAATAGGTACCGCTTCGGTGGGAAGGTAACAGCGTTCCGTGCGCCTCGGTGTTTAGTCATGCCGGCCACATGACCATGGAAACGTCTTCGGACAGCGCTGGCTCTTCGGCTTGGAAACGGAGATGAGCACCGCAACCCTAGAGTCTGGACTCGACTGGCTTTCGAGCAAGGGAACGTTTACCTTTTAGGAGTTGCTCACTTCTTCAGATATCTGAGGTATAAGTGTCTGAAGAAGCAAGCAGTCCCTCTGAAAAGCTTCTTTGTTGTTGTTCAGTCGCACAGTCGAGTTCGACTCTTCGCGACCCCATGGACCATCTCCCGCCAGGCCCTCCTGTCTTCCGCCGTCCTCTGAAGTTGGCTCAATTTCATCTTCTACCCAGCCACAAATGTGATTAGTCTTTAAGGTGCTCCTGGACTCTTGCTCTATTCTACATTTCTACCAGGAGCCATTTTGGAAAAGGCATTGATTTTTCTCTCACACACAATAATGAACACCTCTTCTAAAATGGTACTGTGTGTGACATATAAATTACCCAATTTAAAGTGGCATGCCTTATTTTAAAGTTCATCAGTAGTTTTTATTCATCTCCAGGTACAGATTTAATCAACTGCCTGAAGCTCCACGGTGACTAAAAACGCTTCAGTGACAGAAATACAACCACCCGAAGGAGAAATCGAGTAGCACTTTGCTAATATTTTTAATCCAGTATCCATTTTTGCCAGTCAGATGCCACTTTTCCAGATGCATCTGGAATGGGCTATTATTTTATTACTGGTAGTTATAGTAGGAGTAATTTATTAAAGAATTACTCAGGGGTCATTTCGTAGAAAAAGAACTGCAGGAGCTCATTAGCATAATTTATTAGCATATGCCACACCCCCTGACATCACTGGAAGTGTGCACCAGCCCCTCTGACAGGCAGAAGCATCTGGGATCCATTCTTTCCCCTCTCTCCCTTCCCTTCGCCTCCAAGTCAGGCGAAGGAAAAGGGGAGGGGGAGGATCTCAGGCGCTTCTGCCTGACAGAGGTGCTGGCATGCCCACAGCCAGCCTGGGTGAATTATAGAATCATAGACTCATAGAGTGGGAAGGGACCTCCAGGGTCATCTAGTCCAACCCCCTGCACAATGCAGGAAATTCACCAATACCCCCCACACACCCCAGTGACCCCTGTTGCACGCCCAGAATATGATAAAAAAAAAAACCTCCAGGA